CACAGTAAGTAATGTTGTGAGTGAAATGCCCCGGCTCCACACCGAGGAGTTCTCTGAGAAATATCTGATGGGTGTCAGGCAAGACTCTCTGTGCAGTCCCACAAACTGGTATCTGACAACATGCAGTAAAAAAAACAAGCAGCGGTGTCCCTCTGCTCACTGCTGAGGCCTGACTGAACTGAAGCAGCGATACGAGTGACGACAGTGTCAACAATCCTCCGAGCTTCACCCATTCTCTGTAATAAACAAAGGAGAAGGTCCTGTCACTGCTCTTCTACCTGTGTTAACAGGGAATACAACAGCCCATGAATCAGACACTCCAGGTTTACGCTGCAGTTCATTTAAATTCAGCTGCTGTCTACTGAGGGGCGGCTGCTGCAGATTACACCACACTGGTCTCAGGCTTTCAACTACATGATGGTACAAGTGTATTTCCAGGGTATTACTTAAACTTGTATTTTGAGCTCCATGTGACATCACCAGTTCAGTTCAGAACCCTTCCTTCAGCCTAAAGATTTAGAAATCCAATTCCGACTGATCCTGAACTTGCAGCAAGACTTATTGCTAAAAAACCAAGCCCAGATCATACATTAATCAGGTTTCAGTTTCTCTGTGTTAGCTCCCTGTCGCTTTCTGGACTGAATTCTAAAGTCTGACTCTTTGCACACAAGGCATCAGACATATCTGGATTTTTAAGAAGTTGTTGACCTCTGAACTCATGGAGGAGCCTCAGCTGTCCAGGACTTCAGGCTGAATCTGGAGCAGCTTCCAAGAAACTCTCAAAAAGACAATCAGTCACATTTTTGTAAAAAAACAAAAAACATTAAAAAAAAACGTTTCTTTCCTTCTTTCCCATTAGATTTCTCTTGATTTAATAACTTTTACTTTGTGGATTTGCCTCGTTTGTATTGTCTATTCTGTTTATCTTCCTCTCTTTTCTTCTTCCTTTAAAGCACTTGGTTACTTTTGTTTGGAAAAGTGTTACAGAAAATCAAGTTCCCTTGATACGATATGTTGTCAACACTGACTTCAACTCCAGCTTGTTCTCATTGTACTGCTGAGAAAGACAAATTGGTTTTTGTCTTTTGTCAGCTCCATGCTTTTTATTTCTGCTGTTTGTTTTTTGCATAGTCTTAATAGATTTTTTTAACTCATGCCTCCACATTATTTTTTGGCAGTAAAAGGTATTTGGAAACAATGTGTATCAATAACACTTAGTGGGTATTTATAACACAGCCTGTAACTTACAGTATAATTTAGGGTGTAATTTCACTCTATGTATTAGGTAGTATAACGATAAAACAGTGCTACTTAAATGTAGGCATAGTGAAAGATAATTCACTACAGAGAGTGAGAACGTAACAGTGGGGTGCGTTTTAGAAAGAAACAATTATTTATTGTTATTAGTATTGGTATTTAAACACTTAGAACTGGAAAACGAAACTGAAGTTTGGGGAAAACTGTGTCAACACTCTTTTATTAAATCAAGTAATTAAAGAATAAATATGGGGCAGCATGGTGGCACAGTGGTTAGCGCTGTCGCCTCACAGCAAGAAGGTTTTGGGGTGGAGCCCAGGCCGACCCAGGGGGCTTTCTGTCCAGAGTTTGCATGTTCTCCCTGTGCCTACGTGGGTTCTGTCCGCGTCCTCCAGCTTCCTCCCACAGTCCAAAGACATGCAGCTTAGGTTGATTAGCAACTCTAAATTCCCCTAGGAGTGTGTGTGTGTGTGTGTGTGTGGTTGTTTGTCTCTATCAGCCCTGTGATAGACCGGCGACCTGTCCAGGGTGGACCCTTCCTCTCGGCCAATGTCTACTGGGATTGGCTCTAGCTCCCCTGTGCCACTCTTCAGGATAAGCAGTATAGATAATGAATGGATGGATATGGGAAAACAGCCACGCATTACATAACAGCAAGCATAGCTTATTCTTACTGTCTTAAAAAATATATATTGATTATTACTATTGGTTCCTTTTTAAACATTAGCAATTAGGCAGGTTTGATCCACCTGTTTCAACGTATTATATTATTACAGCTTTATTATGTTGTCGTTTTTCCTCCTTGGATGACAATAGAAACCTTTCACATGCTTAGTTGACAGAGGTAAGCTTCTTTCTGCTCCAGTGTGCTGGACCATGACAGATGCAGCTTTTCACAAGTTTAAACCCATCTCTTGATTTGTTATTATGATCATATATGTCCTTAAAATATTAAAGCATACTTTGAACTATTAGACATAGTGATAAATCCCTGTAGTGCCTGTAGCTTGCCTGCAGACAGCTCACCCACACAATTTAAGCTCGCCTCTTTTATATTGTATGTTCTACATATTGCAATAATGTTTGTTAATGAGGAAAATGTCAAGATTTAATTTATATTACACACTAAGAGCCAGCTGTACCAACTGTTATATAATGTGTAGCTGGACTCTTTATCTGCACAATAAGAACAAGGTTGTTTGAGTTTTTGTTTAACTGTGCTTCCGCTGCGAGTGCCCAGCATTTATAAAAAATTCCTGGTGCATCAATTTATTTTGCAATTCATCTAAAATGACCATTTATTCCTCCCCCATACTCCCTCTTTTTGTTTTCTTGCACTGTGCCTGCATTTCACTATCAGTAAAAAGTCTATTGGTTTAATATAATGAAATAACACTATAAACTGCGGGCTGCATAATACAGTTGTACTGGGCACAGCTACTGAGAGCTTTTAAATTCTAAGGCAGAGGGTGAAAAAGGAATTAAAGGTTAAAAGAAAGAAACACTTCTAAAAGTCTGATCCTGCTCAGGAAGCATGAGGGGACTTTAATTTGGATAAACACTTGAAATTCAATCTGACTGTGAGGAGACCAAAGCCGCAATCACTTCCTTCATGGACGGACTCATTTGTAGTAACTATATAAAAGTGTCCGTTAATTTCCCAGTGTGTTCCTATTGAAAAACATTACCTGGTTAAACAAACTTAGAATCAAAACTCATCATGATACTGTATGAAACTGATCTCCAGCCTGTTCCTGCTGTGATAATGACGAAAGGGAAATTAGCTGTATCTGTCTCAAATTAGCACAGCTAAAATGTTCTACACTGACAGTGATTCTTATGGCTTTTTTTGCCTTTATAGTGATACTACCAAAGTATTGAGAGACAGAAAATTCAGGCAGACATAGAGGGGATGATGTGACAAAGCCTCTTAGGAATATCAGTAATAACACCCTTTAATCACTGTTTGACTGCTCCACTTACATCCTGAAGTTAAGTCTGAGCTCTGCGGAACAAGTTTGTCTTTGTTATATAACTCCAGGCTGTTGCATAACCTCCTCACTAAAGCTGCAGTCCTGACACCTCAAAATGTAAACTTATTGTATGAAAGTCTGACACTCTGGTTCCTGTGTGGAGGAGCAGTCAGTTCAATGTGAAATTAATTAGTTCCTTCACTATATGATGGGGGACTGAAGAAGTGCAAACTCACCAAACACTAATGTGTTAGTGCTTTTTTTTTGTGTTTATGTGTTTAGGTTCCTCACACACTGCAGTGGGTTCAGACTGTCACGTTAAGCCTCTGGACGTTTGATAGTTGCTGCCACCTGCTGGTGGATCCAAGCTTTACACCCTGCAGCATTGGCCAGGCAGGAAAGTAGAGCCAGCAGAGAGTCTGTTCAACTTATAGACAACGTTCCTGCACCTGCCGATCACTGCCAGGCCGCTAGATGCACTTCTGCTGCTCATGAACTACCAGCAACTCAGTTTTGTCCTTTAACAGGTCACATCTACACCAGCAATCTGAACTCAAACCTGAAGTGAATTCAGAGCTGCACCCACCTGAACCAAGGGCAGAAGTTATTTTTAATTAAGTACAAAATTGACATTCAGTCCTCTATGTGGATTCTTTTTTTACTTTACAACATCTGAGTGAAATAGATTACATTTTACTCCACTGGTGTTCTCCTCTGGTGTAGTTTCTAATTTCACAGTCAAAGCCTAAATCTTAAATATGATTTGTAGTTTAAAAAATACATTTAGTTACATTACATTAAGAACTTTACTTAATGTATTGAACTCTCTAAAGCAGTGATTTCCAACTTGAGGACCCCTCAAGGAGCCAGGAGATAAATCTGAGGGGTAACAATATGATTACTGTAACAACTGCTGCATGGGTTGAAACGAGACATGGTTCAGACATGAATGTTCTCAGGATGAACTGTAATAACTTTGGGGGCCCTCTGACTTTTCTTCCAGCACTGTCATCAGGGTGACATTTCCATGACCAGCTATGCTTGGTGTTTCTGGGCGTTTTTCTGAATGTAATTTTATTGCTCGAGAATTACTGCATAACTGTACAGCATCGGACACATAAACAGCATTCAGATTAAGGAAAGCCCCCCCACACAGACACACTGTGACTTATATGTGTCACTATGTCTGTTTGGTGCCATTTTGTCTTTTTATTGTAGCAGGTTTTAGTGTTTTATTTATGCACATCTCATAACGTTTCACATTTTAATTAATTCATTTCACAACACTGTTCCTTCACTGCACTTTTTGAACTTGTTTTAAACTTTGTTTTTTTGGGTGGGAGGATTGTACTGTGTTTTTTTATCACAGTAGCAATTAAGAAATGTAGTTTCACTTCTCTGCATGCTGAATATTGTTTATAGGAAAGAATGACAATAAATTCTACCTTGTACTTTCAACCTGATCACAAGTCAGCACTGCTGAAAACCACAGTCCTAAATGAATCAGTAACACAAATCTGTTTATACTCTAGTATATTTTACCATTAAGTCAACATTTCCCATAAGCAGTCATTTGGGAACTCTGCTAAATAAATGGTCCTGCAGTAAATGGTCTAAAGCAGACAAAATTCTGATTTGAATAATAATTTGATCAAAGAATGTTTTTTTTTTTATTTAAATATCCGGCCCAAATGTTCTCCATTGTTAAGACTTTAAACTCTATCACTGGAAATTATGCATACAAGAGATTAAAGAGAAACTGCAAACAAGTCATGTAACAAATTTAATAGTAAATACTTTTTTAAAAATCCATTGAAAACTTATTAACATACAGAAACCACCCAACTGCCACCAGCATCATAATCACAGGTGCACTGTCATGGTCTGAACAGGGACCCGGTGCACCCTACCACCACTGAGTGCTTTAAACCACCTAGAGGCTGAGGAGCCACAGTCTGCTGCTGCTTGCTGAGAATGAAGATCTTCTCACTGAAGCTGCAACTGGAACATCTGGGTCTGCGGACTCCTCTTCACACCCCGGTTAAACCTCGCCCATCGGAGCTCAGGATGCTCCTGCCGTCTGTGCATCTCGTCTGTCGCCAAGGAGACTGTGGTTGTGTCCAGGATAAGCCGTCCGAGTTGCCCTGAATAATAAAAACAGTCTAGTGATGCCTTGGGAAAAAAACATGCCTCAAAAGCCTGTATGCCAGACTTATGAGGACACCGCTCTCATGTGTACTTGTACTGCGGTTAATCATTTTATACACAGAACACAATGAGGCTGGATGCAAATAAGGAGTCAGTTCTTTTATCAAACACAAATAAATCAGCTACACTTAAATTCAGATCAATATAATGAAACCTTTACTGTACAACTACACAGTACAGCTACTGTGTAGCTACCACTGGAGGAGGACACTTTAACACACAGATTCTTAGGAAAGGTCAAGTTCAGCTTTGTTGGTCATAATCAACACTTCAGGATTTCTAACATTTGTAAGTCGTTTTCCCAAGTTCTAAAGTTTCCTATACCAAAAAAACCATTGATATTGTCTCCAATTTAAAGTATTTGCTGAGTCCTTGAAGCAGGAGACCACCCACAAATAACAGGCACTCTCGAATTTGGCTCATGATTATTCAGACAAACCTTTATTTGAACACATGATCAGCTTTTGAATCACAACTGCCCACTTTGTGGAGGAAGGACGGTTTGAGGGAAGGATTCTTAGAGGAAAAGGTGAAGTCACCATTAAAACAGTGGCGCTTTCTAAACTTCCATAGCTGCCGTTTGGAGATGTGTCAAATTCCATATTTTACCCATTTTGTTAAACCACTGTAAAATATTTACTGCCACTCTTAAATCATAGTTATATATATTTTAAGAAAGAATTAACATTGATTTCAGTACAGAAATGTATCTTACTTCAGTTTTCACGCTTTGGCTTTCTTTTCGCTGTTCTGGAGTTTTTCCACAATTTTGCGCTCATGCCCGCCCGGGTTGTGCCTGTTGGTGTTCTCACTGGCCTCCTTCTTGGTCCTGCCTTTACGGGCGGAGCCTTCTGTAAAAATACATTTTTAAAAAAGTCACATTTCAATTTAACAAACAATCCAAATACCAAAAAAAAACAACAACTAATCGTTGGTAGAAGGTGTAGGGTGTCACGTGACCGCGCGAAGCCCGTTCTCTCACCCGTGTATTTGTCGGTTACGTTGTAATAATCATATTCATCGTAGTACTCGTCTTCAAAACGAGTGGGCTTCAGATTTTTCACGTCGACGTGACTCATGTTTGTTTCTCCAACACGAAAACTTTGCCACTAAGCCTCAGGAACTGTGAACCTCCTTTGCCTCGTCTCTGTGAGACTAAGAATATCCCCCAGTGTTTTCGGTGTGTCTTTATAACAAGCTCAGCTCCTCCTCCACACTCATACCTCGCACACAGTCACTCCCCTGGCAGGGTTCATCTTTCCGATGTACAAATATTGCATCATCTTTTTAAAAGCTGAATGTGACTTAAACAACATCATGTGCTGCTGGGCCGGGACCATGGTGCATCAGTACAGTATTTGTCCACCATATAGTCTGACCTTCATCTTTGCAGCAGATTAGACCAACTCTGTTTGTTTTTTTGTTTATCAGCAGCTGCAGGCTTCACACAGCTGTGACCTGACACCGTGTACCCGTTTGTCTGCACAGGTCTCCCTTTAATCCAGAGGAGTGTGGGTTGTTATGCTGCTGTCTAGGTCTAATCCTTGTCAAACAGCAGTTTGCATCACAGGTTTATCAGAACATGTAGCAGTAACATATAAAAGAATCGAACCAGAAAGTACTTTACCAGAGAGGGGCTGTTTAAATATACTTGTGCAGGGAGCAGCAAAAATATTGTTTAGCTACTTCTCCTCTCATTCTTGCTTAGTTTTATGAAGTAATGGATAAGTTTGCTTCTTCAGTCATCGAACAGTTTGATAAAATATAGTCAGCCTGTGTGAGGCATCGCAGCAGACAGCTTTAAACAATATGTTTTTAGCCTGATAACACTAAACTATTGTCCGGTGCAGCTTCAAACTATCATCAAAGTATCATTTATAACCCCAGAATGAAAAATCACACCATAGTCTGGATTTAAATTCCACTCCTCCTCAAATCGTCCTGCTGTAGCTGCAGGCGTTCAGCATCCTCATGTTTCAGTACAGGCTACTTCGGATGATGCAGTGAGTCATAAGAGCTTTGGCCACAGTCACCGGTTTTAGTCACTCACTTTGGTTTGGAAGACAGAAGTCATGGAGAATTACTCAGGAGCCTAGTAAAACATACTCAAAATCAGAAGTCCTTCTAAAGGGTCCCACAGCTACTGGAGCCCTGAGGTGCAGTAAATAGGCTGCTGCTGAAACTTAAAACAATGAAGTATTTCCAGTACTGAAAGAAGTACTCAGATCCTTTATTTATTAAGTATAAGTATTAAAAATGTCTCATGTGACTACCTGATGTTGTTAGATCATTAATACTTCAGCACCATTTTACTGTTGGAGCAGCTGCTCCAGGTTTGAACTACTGTACATACAGTTAGTCCAGTGGCTCTCTACCCAGAGGATTGGGTCGCTTCAAAGGGTCACAAGATAAATATGAGAAGTTATGAAATGCTTAATGGGTTTTGAGGCTTTTAGTAATACAGTGCATTTTACAGTTATTTAAATGAAATTGTATGTGGAGTTTAGAGTGGAAAATGTTTCTTTAATGGAGCCACTAACAACTCACAGACATCTGGAACACGGCCAGTTGACACAGTACACGTAAGAGGTCACAAGACAAAAATGTCTTAAGAATCATTAAGAATATGGTGCATTTTACAAGCTTAGTATGTTTTTCTTTCTTAGTCAATCTGAAAGTACATACCACACCTGTCAGATAAATTTGATCCAGTAAAAAGTATAATATTTTCCTCTAAAATGTATTGAAGTGGAAGTATAAAGTGGAATAAAATGCACAAGTATTGCACCCTCAAAACTGTACTTAAGTACAACAGTACAGTAAACATACCGAGTTGCTTTCCATAATTTTATTATAACCAAGTTAATCATAACTATTAGAATCAGAGCCAAATATCCATCCATCCATTATCTATACTGCTTATTCCTGAATAGGGTTGCGGGGTGGGGTGGGGCTGCAGCCAATCCCAGGTGACATTGGGCAAGAGGTGTGGTACACCCTGGTTGGGTCAGAGACAAACATAACAAAGGTTAAATAAGACTTTATGTCATAAAGTCATGTTTATCTTGCAAGAAATGTTTAATCATCATATCACGAGTTTATCATCACAGCTCGCTTCACCGCTTCAATGCCGAGTGCAAACAGGCAGCATCTGTTTTTGGATTTCACCTCTTTAAAAACCAGCAGCTGAAACTTTCCTCCTCCTGCAGAGACTCCTCCTTGTGCCTGGAAAGTTCTGTGAGAGCCTCTTCATCAGCACAACGTGACTGTTTGCAGGCAGGAAGACGTGTGAGGACAATGTACTGCTGAGAGAGAGAAAAAGAGAGAGAGAAAAAATCAGACTGCAGCCATATTTCACTGAGTCACCGCTTGTCATAAACACAGCCCTCAGCCCAGAGAATAGAGAAAACAAGCAGAGGAGGAAGCACTGTGTAACCATCCCACTCCCTGTTTATCTCTGCTTTTTTTATAGCAATACACCAGCAGCTTTTGTTATTCTGATCTCATGATATTTCCTCTGGCTCTGATGTCATGATGTCTTGTTTGTGTTTCTTCCTACCCTGCCCAGTCATGAGACTCAGTACAATAAATATTTGCAGAAATATGAGCCGACCTGTCTGAGCTGTTGCTGTCTGTCCTTGTGTCCGTTGTTGGCGGAGCTTGGCATGTGCACACACACATGGATCAAGCAGTGTACATACAGTACTATAAACCAGGCCACAGATAAGATATCAGCAATCAGCCGGTGCTTTGTGGCCTGATTATCATTGACTGAACTGGTGAATATTAACTGCAGTTTTATGTAAACACACTTTACTTTATCTCAGCACACACACATGTATTTTAACACAATTTTAACTGTGTACTTTATGAACAGTAATCACTCCTGCATAAATGTGTACCCAGATTACTCACAACTCATTAAAAAACATAAATGTAAAATCCTAAATTAATAACTGACTTGTAAACATGTGTTTTTATACACTTGCCTCTGTTTTAGACATCATTCCACAGCAGATGTCAATCATTAACTAACAGATTTTTTTTTTCTTTTTTGAAAAGTGTGATTAGCACAGTTTGCACATCCAGAACACAGGCCAAAGTACCATTAACAACTCTTGTGGAAATGCATGCAAAGATAGGCTTAAAAGTAAGCTTTCACTCAGATTTCTCCACAGCTGCACTTTGTCTTTCACTGCAGATGTCCTGGAATTTGTTCCAGATCATCTGGACCAAAATCCATTTATAAACTGCTCATTAATATTTATAGCTGCAGACTTAATGGATTGTAGATCATTGTAGTACGACTGCAGCAGTACATAATTATGTGCATAATAACCAGTTTTAAAATGTTTTGTAGCTTTTTTCCAGAAAATTTGTGTTTTGTTGGTTTCCCAAATTAACTAAAAGCTATAAAAACAAGCAAAGTGTAATCCTGAAGTAAGATGCTCCACAACCTGGTTAACTAAAAGTAGGTAATAAGTATGTTATCCATTAATTAAGGCTCGTTTTTGTATTATCAGATAGTGGCTTTTTGCGTTGCAGCTGCAGTTGTACACTCCTCCACTATGTGGCGGTGTGCACATTAAGGCTGGTTTACTGACTTCTCAGTAACATCAAATAAGAAGCTAATGTGCGTAGTTAGCATTAGCAAGGCATCTGTAAATAAACAATATAACTAACACGGTAAGAAGTTCTATAGATTGTATTAAGGGAAGGCGAAAGTATGTGTGCTGAGATATCAAAGTGGAAATGTATATTACTAATGTTTTTATTGCATGAGTACAAATGTCACAGATTAGCTAAAATAACATTAGCGAAACAAACCAGTTGCTAACCCTGGCAACTAGTGTTAGTAGTAGCTATTGTTACTGCCTTAACTTACAAAGACTCATTTATTTTCATTAACGTTACTAAAACAACGTTAGTATTTCCACCAACATTACCAAAACATTGTTATGCATTTTCAACCATCTAATCCCAAAATATAATAACCGCTGTAATCTCAACACGATCGTCTTTTCATTCAGAATATTTCAATTCAGAGTTGTCTTATTATTAAGGAAAATAATATATTAGTAGAGCAAGAATCCAGACCACTTGGATCCATTTATCAATTCGGCTTTTAAGCAATGCACCATTTTCATACGATGGTAATATTATTACACAAAACAATGCCCCGTGCCTTTAAAGTGTCACATTTATTAACGGGGTTGTCAATATGTTATAACGAGATGTCTGAATGTCAAAATCTTAAAGGTAGGGGCATGTCAGCTGATACCAAGATTGCCGAGCTGCTCACAGAGCTCCATCAGCTCATCAAACAGACCCAGGTAATTTAGAGGCATTAGCCTTTAACTATACATAATGTGGTATCTTCTGGTGCCTCTGAAATACTATAGACTTGGGTTGTGCAGTTATGTTATTTCATGTCATTAATGCTGTGTCAGCCAATTGAAGTTGAATGAGTCCAGATATCCCTGTGCTCTTTTCAGGAGGAGAGGTCACGCAGTGAACACAATCTGCTCAACATTCAGAAAACACATGAGAGGATGCAGACGGAAAACAAAAGTCAGTCTCCACATCAATAAAGCTGTTTTCATTTCGAACACTATGTGAAGAAGGCAGAAAGTCCCCCCCAAACACACATGCACATCATGTTTCACTCAAACCTCTGTCTTCTCCAGCTTCTCCATACTACAGGACTAAGCTGAGGGGACTGTACACGACAGCCAAAGCAGATGCTGAGGCAGAGTGTAGGTGAGAGGCCAGAAATGAACTTTCTTTCATTTTACTGACATTCTTTAAATCCCACTTAAGTATCAGGGTAAACGTATAAAAAAAATTAACTAAAATAGTTTAAATAAAAAATAAAGAGTTATGTTTTGCTGCTAAAGGATCAGCATTAGTAGACTACACTGATTTTCAGTACGACCTTTTTAAGTTGATGGTATTATTTGAACAATTCTTATAATCCAGTCCAGATAGAGCTTTTAATAGTCACAAATCATCCATATTTTGATTATTATCCACAACATTTCAAAATGTGGCAGGCACTGAAAGAAAATCACGTGTTCACTCATTGATTTTATTTTCACAGCATCTTACGTCATGCTCTTGACAAAATTGCGGAGATCAAGTCTTTGTTGGAGGAGAGGAGAATAGGTATGTGTGTGAAGAAAACATATGCTGATAAAATTCAACCACTGCTCCTCAAGATGTGCAACAGAAACAAGTCAAATTTTCTCACACACATTTAGTTTTTCTTTTCTTTTGCAGCTGCTAAGATGGCAGGGGTTTACAGCGACAGCGACCCTCCCAGGAAGACGATGAGACGCGGCGTCCTAATGACACTCCTCCAACAGTCAGCCATGACACTTCCTCTGTGGATTGGAAAGCCGGGAGAGAGGTAGCTGGTGCTCCAAATAAAATGATAAAATGTTAAAATAACTTGTATACAAACAGCTGAAGTACTTGTACAATGTAACGTCCTCTGTGTTCACGACCCTCAGCCCACCTCCCCTGTGTGGGGCAACGCCAGCCAGCAGCGACTATGTGGCCAAACAGGGCGACAAAGTGGCAGCGAGGGTAAAAGCTGTGGATGGAGATGAGCAGTGGATCCTGGCTGAGGTGGTCAGCTACAATCACTCCACCAACAAGTGAGAACGTCACACAGTTCACAAACACATCATCATCATAATTTTGCCCCCCACTGCAAATATCAGGATTTGATCTTCAGGGTGTGAAATCCCAGCTGAGCAGAGTACGAGGAACACGTGGACTTCTGTCCTCAAACAGGTCTGACTTTTCTTCACCTCTCCCTCCAGGTACGAAGTGGACGACATTGATGAAGAGGGCAAAGAGTGAGTTCTTTTTAATATGACACATTTACCGTCTCTTGTTTGTTTCTGAACAACCTCAGATTTATATTTGACATTTCGGTATTGACTGACAGACACTGATACTGATCGGCTGTGTGCAGATAGAGAAAATGTTTCGTATTTTCCTGAATTGTCTATTTAATACCAGGTTCAAATCATGTTTGTCCAAAGGGCCAAGATCAGAGACTAAAGATATTGTTTTTAGCTAGACAGGCAAAAATATTGAGTAAATAAGCAGCATCTGCATCAAAGATAACGTCAGTGGTGTAAGTCAGTAGAAGCTCGGGGTGAGTGCAGGCATCTTTCCAGTGATGTCCTGGGTTATATCTTTAGAGAGCTGTGATTAATTATACTGGATAAAGCAGGAAATCTGAATCTTTTTCTCTATTATTATTCTGACATTTCACATTGTTAAACTAAAGTAGTGATCCTAACTGACCCAAGACAGGGAGTTTAAATGTATTTGGCTAAGGTGCATGTAAAGTACTGACTTCAACTGCATATAGTTTCTTTTTTTTTTTAAATCTGTCCTTTGCTAAAACAGTGCCTTAGTTGGGGACTATTTTCACAGGAGTTTGGTGCTTTAGTGAATATTTGGGTTACAGGACAGTGTCTGTTGATTGAGTCCAAACAAACTACAGTGTGTGTGTTCGTGGTAATGAAGCAACATGTCACCCACTGTAACAGTGTGGTCACTCTTGTTTTTAATAGATTTTGGACAACAATGGAGACCTGTGGCAGAGAGGAATAAGATATATCAGGCTTTGATGCACACAACACTGTGGGATACAGTCAGTGTTGCTTTGTGTCTGCACATGGATTTGTTGTCAAGAAAGTTACACTAACATCAGACTCCTCTCTCCCACACTCAGAAACTAAACAGATAATGTTTTCCAAACACTTGTTCTGTATCTGACAGTTGTGTGTTTGTGTGATCAGGCGACACACTCTGAGCAGGCGGCGGATCATTCCCTTGCCTCAGTGGAAAGCCAACCCAGAGACAGACCCAGAGGCCCTGTTCAGTAAGGACCAGCTGGTGCTTGCCCTCTACCCCCAGACCACCTGCTTTTACCGGGCTCTCATCCACACCCCACCACACAGGGTGAGACTCTCCTCACAGCTCAGCAGTACTTTTTATATCTGTAACACCCAAATGGAGCTGTACTGATGTAACGTCTGAGCAGCTAAGTCAGACAGCATCACAGAGGCCAGTGATTGACCCAACTGTGCATGAAGTTGTCTATTAGGCCAAAACAAAAACAGGATGTAAGGGAAGATAATTGTGGTTAGGATGTACATTAGTTCAGGAATGTTGCTGTCTAACTGAAAAGTCTGACAAACAACAGCGTTCCTATTAGGATATTTATGGCCAATGCAGATCACAGATTTAATGGGATATTTATTACTAAGGTTTTGTGGCAGATTTTGTTTTGGCACTAAACTGTGAAACCCTGTGGGTTCTTATTTATATTAGGAGACGAATTAGTGTGTTGCACCAGAAGAAAAGTGGCAACTCTGGAAGTTGTGCATTTGGTGTCATGCAATATGTATTTACACTGATCAGCCGTAACATTATGACCACTGACAGGTGATGTGAATAACACCGACTATCTCATTACAGTGGCAGTGGCACCTGTCAGTGTGGGGGGAATATTAGGCAGCAAGTGAACTGTTAGTCCTTGATGTTGATGTCTTGGAAACAGGCAAATGCAAGGCATAAGGATCTGAGTGACTTTGACAAGGGCCAAACTGTGATGGTTGACGACTGTGTCAGAGCTCCTCCCAGACTGCAGGTCTTGTTTGGTGTTCCCAGTCTGCAGTACCTACCAACAGTGGTCTAAGGAAGGACAAACAGTGAACCACTCATGGACACCTAAGGCTCACTGAGATTGATCTGCTGATGAGGTTGATCTACTGTGTGTTAAATTTTTACATTCCTTTTGTACTTTTCAAAAGAATAAAATTTGTTTGAATCTTTGTTAAAATGGGTGAAAATGAGAAATACCGTACATTGGTCTCTATGAAGACAAACATTCAGCAACTATAGCGGTGATATCACACGTAGAGTGGGGAGGCTGTTGAATTTGTCTAAAAAAAATCACTTCTAACTTGTCCTCATGACCACAGTTTTCACTCCTTCAACATATGCTTATCACTAAGTTTGTGCCCTTTCAAACCGTATAAATATGATAGCAGACAGATTCACACAAACTGGTTTATGAGCTGCAGAGTGACACGAGTGCCAACCAACTACTACATGGATTCCTCTGTACACAGTATTAGGCAGGTGGTCATAATGTTATGGCTGATTGGTCGAAGCTGTTCCTGTTCAGGGGTGCAAAGTATGGTAAGAGAGAATGGAAATTTATACAAATACCCCCAGTACCTGGTTTACCACCATTGGAGCTGATATTTAAGGTCAGAGGAAAGCAGGTTTAAAATTTGCAGTTAAGGTGTCAGCATGGCGGCCATTAGCCATCTGAGACGTTTCCTTTAAGAGCACATTTGAGGAGGGAGGGGCTGTTTATGAATCGCATCTCTCAGCAGGGGAGAATGTGAGCACTACATAATCAGCATACAGCAGTTATCAATGGCTGGCAAAGTACACAGCAGCAATAATGTAAATGAGGTGGTGTGCATAAGGGTGAGCAGGACACTGGAAATGTTCTTTATTCCAACAAATAACTTTATCCATATTGCAATGTATAAATACTTTCTTAACCTTAGTAATTATTAGTATAAAAACATTGTAGCCGATTTAACTAGTGTGTCATGTCAGTTGCAGAAAGGTCAGTGTGAAGTCAGTCAATGTTTGGAAACACACCAGAACACTATGAACAAGTCTCAGATATTACAGGCCTACCATGGTACCAGGTAATTAAATAAACAAACCACACCTCGCCTGGAGCAGTTTGTGGAAATGAAAGATTCTGAAGCTTATCTTAGACACAGTAAAAGCAGTTAACGTTTGATTTATTACTTCTGAAATTAGATAACACATCCAAATAGTCACTGTTGCAAAACTACATTTTCCCTGTTGCTCTAAGTTCACATGGCCATTGTTTATTTCCGGAATAATGTTTATTAAGCTCATTGTCGCCTCCTGCTGCACCTAACAGATTACAGCACATGTGGAGCTGTGCTAGTTGTCAACAGGTGTACAAGTCCTTACCTAGTTTAAAAGATGCTAGACCTTAAAGTAGGACCTAAAATGTGTCCAATTTTTTCGTCCAGTTACGACTGATCACTCAGAGATAAATACAGGCCCTGCACAGGTCTCGATCTCTTGTTGTCTGTTTCTGTGATGAATGATCAGATGATAAACCACCACTGAGGAGACATGACCGTCCCTGTGACACAGCTCAGTCTGTGCTGAATCCATCTGTAGCCAGACCAAATACCAATACATCCTAAATACAATTAAAGACCATTCTTTTCGGAGTCCGGCATTTGTCGGTGCTCAAAGCTTTTGATCTAAAGCTGCTCCTTGCTAAAAATATTTAGGGAGACTGACTGCGGTACAGTCCACTGCAGCCTTTAACCTCAGCATGTGTGTGTTTGCAGCCTCAGGACGACTACTCAGTGTTGTTTGAGGATACGTCATACGCTGACGGTTACTCCCCTCCTCTCAATGTTGCTCAGCGATATGTGGTTGCCTGCAAAGAGAACAAGAAGAAGTGACGGACAACTGGATGTCAAGACCAGATTTAGACCAAAGGACACTGATGAAAGCTCTTTGGGAGCACAGCAGTGTTTTGAAATGGCATTGGTTTCATTTTTTGCAGTTAAGCAGGAACACCTCCTGAACAGACTTTTTACAATACATTTTAAATGAGACTGCATTTGTCAGAATCACCACCAAGCCACATACTGTAGAAGAAGTGAATTTAACTACAAGGATCTGAACATTTCATGGAGAGAAACAGCTTGGGCTCTAACTAACAGTTATTTTCCTTTTTGAATAAATTTTTTTCTAGTCATTTTAAACATTTTTTGTTGTAGCATCTAATGGCCTGAAGAACAATTCAACAAACCTCAAAAATCTGTTTAAATATCTAGCTGCTTGGTTATTCTGCCATTAAGAGCCCAGTTGGAAGGGGTAAAGCAGTGGTTCCCAAACCTTTTCTGCTGGGCCCTCCTTTTGGGGTAAAATTATTTTTGAGGTCCCCATCCCATCCCCACCTCCAACTTAACTTTGGGGCCCCTTAGGGGTCCTGCCCCCCAGTTTGGGAACCACTGGTCTAAAGTGTATCTTTTCTAACATGTCAAGTGTTAATGATTGCTTTGTTAAATAAAAAAAAATAAAATCAAAGACCAGAGTGAAAAATTCTATTTATGACTTCATACCTCTTGTTTGCATGCACGCACACACGCAGTATACCCATATTATAAGATTAGATTCACTTTGATGCCAGATTTCACAAAATGTGCCTTGCACCACAAGGTGAGCACTGTTCCACATACAAAACAAACACTGAACAACAAGGATTGTTGTGTAATAAAATATTACACATAGCTGCAGTGCATGAATATTAGCTCTTACATCTACACCATTCGTTTCAATTTAACTTGCTTTATTAACTAGTTAGAATTTGACCACGGGATAAAGGCCGTTGAGGAATAATAAATACAACCAGAGCAAAAAGATAATAGAGAAAGTAATATGTCACCCTCTATGGTGTATAACATGATTAAAAGAATTAAGGAATCTTGAGGGATTTCAGTGCATAAAGAGCCAGGGTGCAAACCTAAGCTGGATGACCGTGCTCTCCGATCCCTCAGACGACACTGCATCAAGAATCGTCACTCTTCTATAAACGATATAACCACATTGGATCCGGATTAATTTGGCAAACCTGTGTCAGGCACTACAATACATTGTTACATCCATAAATTCCGCTTAAAACTACTATGTCAAAAGAAATCCCTGTCTTTCTCTGGGGAACATTGCTTTTAAACATAGGGGTGAAGAGACTGTATTTAGTAGGATCAGACTGGGACACACTTAATTAAATTCCTCTTTGTTCCTCATTTGGGAAGCATCCTAATGGTTGATGTGATGCCTGTAACCAAGAATAGATGGTGAAACATCTTTTTTGTATGCCCAACATACAGTGGGTACGGAAAGTATTCAGACCCCCTTAAATTTTCCACTCT